ATTCCCCACAGGAAGCAGCCGAGTCCTTCAACACGCCACCCTGCTGCAGCCTCCTCCAGGGACCCCGCAGCGACATTCCCCTCACGCCTTCCTCGCGCGGTCCACTGATGCACTCAGCGCCCAGCGCCACGGCTGGCTTGCTTCCTCAACACCACCCTCCCGACCAACCTTCCACCTCACAACTGCCTCCCGTGCTGCCCGCCACCTCTCCACGTGGCTGCTCTACCTTAGTGTGACTGCAAGCGTCTTCACTAGTGCCACGAATTTATCTTCTACATTCCTAGCCAGAGTATTTCCTTCTCTGTTGTTTCCTCAATGACTGACACTAAGTCAATACTACACGCTAACTAAATGGATGATAAAATTAAGTTCTGTCTGAGTAAGGGGCCAGTCCACAGTAACCAATTCTCCTTCGCATGTTAGTCCCATCAGTAGTACTCTCATGTTATCTGGGATTTTATGAAGTCAGTCCAACAGGATGATACCTCGTTTGTTTACAGGTGAAGAAGGAAGGAAGGTTGCCGGCATCGACCTCAAAGGAGAATTCTGAGAGGCTTCTAGGAATGGTTCCTTCAGGTGATCTGCAATAAATCCATCCACCCAAATAAATCATCCATAATGTTTCAATTCAAATTGATGCACATTTTGCTACCAAGTATAAGCAAATTCCCACTCTGGGTTGGAGAAAAATAAACTGAAAGTGAAAAGTACTAGAAATACATATATATATACATATATATGTGTAAATAAATATATATATATATATATATATTTGAGCATAAATGTTAAGTGTAATATATACTGTGCTAATATATAATATATTAATATGTAATACATATACACTAAAAATGTTAGGTGATAGATTATCCTTTTCCTAAACAGTCATAACTACTCTTCCCTTTGAAAGCTTCAAAAGTAGCTTAGCAAACGTCACTGAAGTGTTTTCATACACGTTAAAAATGTTATTATTAAAATTCTATGCGTCCACTTCATTTCACTTTATTTTTATTAGTACCTTATTCAATTAAATAACTTTAAAAATAATCCAGGATTTTTGTTTGAAATACACTCAGAATTAGTTTCTACGACTGTACTCATCATAATTGATAACTTGGCTTTCCTTTCAGTATTTAAAAAAAAAAAACCTGGGGATCAAACTAGGACCTCATATGTGCTAAGCACACACGCTACCACTGAGCCCTTTCGCCTAGTTCTTGGCAATTCTCTTCTCCCCCTTTCTGTTCTCAAAAAGAAGACTCAGAAACCTGGTACCACCTAAAATTGCTGAGTGCTGACAAGATACTCAAAGCGCTCGGATTCTGACAGCGCTTCAGATTTCATCTTTCCAGGTCAGGGATGCTCAACCAACTGAAGTCAATGCCAATATTCCAAACTTCTAAATAGTCTGAGAAGAAACACCTCTAGGGCCAAAGCATCTGGAGTAAGGAATAGTTAATCTTTAGTTCATCTTGGGCAAGGCCAGTTAATCTCTCTGAACCTCAGTTCTCGTCTCTTATCTAGAGGACGAGAATCCTTCCTTCTAGAGTAGCTGCACACAGAGAAAGAAATGGTGTTTGTAAAACCAGTACAGCAGACACACAGTAAATGGCAGATGTCACTACTATAAGAACCAAACACAAAAGTAATGAAGCACGAGAGATAACGCAAGAATTTAAAATCCTGGCAGGGAATATAGCTCAGGGACACAAGTGCCTGCAAGTGTAAGGTCCCGAGTTCAACTCTTGGTACAAAAAAAATAACAAATAAAAACCCTTAGAGGGTAATCCAAACTACCTTTATAAACACTGTATCTGGGGGCCAGGGAGATAGCTCAGTAGAATAAGCACTTCCTTGGCAACTGCTCAAGGGTCTAAGTTCAATTCCCAGTTATGCCAAAAATAATTAATTATAAATAAATAAAAAATAAATAAAAACACTGCATCTGCCTTTTTTTTTTTTTTTTTTTGCGGAACCAGGGATTGAACTCAGGTCCTTGCGCTTGCCAGGCAAATGCTTATCACTGAACTATCTCCCCGGCTCCTGCCATATTTTAATTTTTCTGAAAACTAAGCTTTCATTAGTATTACTACAAAAACACATGACAACTTTTTTTTTTTTAAATTTAGAGATCATTTGCTTTTGAACACACTAGTTTAAATAGTTTGGTCCCAGTATATCTGGTTGACGAGAGGTGTGTCTAGATGGCCCACCAAAGCCTCAGGTGGTCATAGGTGGGGCTTTTCCTAGGTTGCTGGATCTAGAGTGTGTGATGCCAGGATCAGAGTGTGTGATTACTAAACCAGTCCACTGACTGGTTTGGCATACAAGGCCCACCCTCAATGTGGGGGGTACTCCCCACCCTCCTCAATCCCCCCCAACCCCGCAGGTACCCTGAAAGGGACAAAAGGGAGAGGCAGGCCGCTGCTGCTGCTGCTGCTGCTGCTGCTGCTGCTTCCCTACTTCCTGCTTTGCTCTCTGCCTTCCAGGACCTCCTCCTCCTCTGTGACATCCCTTGGCATCCCCCCCTGCCTGGGAACCAGCCGACTATGAACTACCCTCTACAAACCGTGAGCTGTGATAAACCTTTCCTCTTTGACGTTCAGTGTTGGGTATTTTGGCTCAGCAACAAGAAATGAAACTGAGACGAGAGGCACTTTCCATCTTCCATGTTTACCACTGGCGTACTTTAGGCATTGCTAGAGAATTTGGAGAGAGCAAGCCTTTTGGGAGATTTGCTTTCAGAGCAGATTACAACGGGAGTAAAATGCTCTTGCTTACCAGGTACTTGTGGGTAAATCTGTTCAGCCATATATTCTCTTAAATTCCTTGGCTTCTCTCCACGAATGTCAACAAGTACTCGAGTTTCATTGTGTGAAATTTGGTAGACGAGAACTGGGCTTGGATTAAGTAAAAGAAGTTCGGCATAATTGGGTTCAAACTGGGGTGCATTCTAAAAAAGAAATAAGTATTTCAATGATTTTCAAATTTCAAGTTGCTGTTGCTTTTCTACAACTGTACTAATCCTTAGTACCTTCATGAGGAAGCCAACAAAGTGAGATGAAACAGAAGCTTCAGTGGAAATCAAGTTTTTCCTGAACTTGGAGAAAATCCCATCTGCTACAACAGTCAACGGAGCATGGAGTTCCTGCAACAGACACACAATACTCAGCCATAGGGTCGAAACACAGTAAAATGTCCATCCTTAAAAAATGTGCATACGAAGATTTTAAATCAGTATGAGAGAACGTTAAAGAGGGCGGCCAAGGGAGATAGCTTGGGGGTCTAAGCACCTGCCTGGCAAACCAAGGACCCAGGTTCGACCCCAGTACTGCATGCACACTGTGCCAACTACTGAAACTGGGCATGGAGGAGCACGCCTGTAATCCCAGTGCTGAGAAGACTACCACAGGAGGATCACTATTGAGTCTGAGTGCACAGCAAGACCCTATACCAAATAAATAAATAAAAGATTAGAAAAAAGTTTTCAAAGGAGGGCCGCCAAAACACCTTATGGCTGCAAGGTAACGCATGACATTACCTGAATGTAAGGTGTCAGTCTCCAGACACCTCTGGGAATCTGACTTCGCCCCCCTTGCCGTATACCATCAAAACCAGCAGGGAGCCAGGCACGGGTGGGCACACCTATGATTCCAACAACTGGGAAGCTGAGGCAGAATGATCACTGTGAGTTTGACACGAGCCTGGGTGACACAGTGAATTCAAGGCCAGCTTGAACTACATAGACCTTGTCTCAAAAAATAAAAAAAGAAAAAAAAGAAGAAAGAAAGAAAGAAAGAAAGAAAGAAAGAAAGAAAGAAGCCTATCAGCACCTACCTCCACCTTAACAGATAGGAAGGAAACTTCAAAGCAAGCAAGGACAACCTAAGATAGAATCTCATGACCACAGCCATGAACTAGGCAGATTCATCTTGAATTTTCTAGCTTCACATAGCACTTTTCCATCAGTAACTGGGGCTTAGAAAATGTTTACTTTAATGGCTATGTGTACTTATATTATGCTATAAGCAGCAAGCCTTATAAGCCTCTCTGGCGTCAGTTTCTCGGCGGGGACCCGACAGAGCCAACGGGAAGGACCATGCGTCCTTCTGCCTTATGACAGCAACACGAGCACAGAGCAGACATTATTTCCCTCTATTTCCCCAAAGATTCTCCCCACTCTACCTAGAACAATGCGCATACAGTGACAGCACCATACTGGATCCTCCGGTTCTCTTCATTTTTTGCCTTTTACCGTACTGGACACTTACAAATTAACAGGGTCAATTTACGTTTATTTTACCACAAAATTTTTAAAATCAATAAAGCTGACTCGTAGATGCTCTTACTTTTATCTTTCTCATGTAAACAACTGCCCACTCTGTCCTATCTGCTTCTTGCTGAGTCCCTCCTCTTTCTTTCTTCCACTTGCTCCTGGCCTCTCCACTGGCGTGCACGCTGAATGCTGTTAGTGCACTGAGCTTTGTGCGAACACCTCTGCAGGGCACTCCGAGCGCTCTACAGGCTGCACCACAAGCTGCGGCCCATCCTGTGGCCTGGGAAAACGCAGTTCATCTGGCGAGCAGTAGAGCGCTGACCCACTGTCCTACAAGGATACCAGAGAAACAAGGAACACTACCTCCGGGGAAGAGAGGTCATTCGACAAATCTCACCTTGACATCTCCAGTCTCTTTATCCTTGTATTTAACTCCAATTACAGCATCTTCTTCCTCGAGTAACTGCAGCACAACACCTTCAATGAACTGTGCACTAGAGAATAAACAAACAAATCAATTTTAATAGAGCACACTTGGGCAATTTAGACTAGACATAAACTCTTACTGTAGAATAAGGTCTACAATGACAGAGAAGGCATCAGTGAGTTTTAGAAGTGTGTGATTTCTATTTTGTAAGTTACTTACAATGAATACATATTTTTAATGTAATTATTTTAAAAGTAGTTTTAAGTCACATTAGACTTAATTCATTAAAAACAAGATGCATGCTGAGAAATGTTACATACACATATTCACACACAGCGGTGGAAAACAGATAGTTTATCCAACAAGTTCTTTTTTTTTTTTTTGTATTTTAGGGAAGGGTCTACAGGGTGTTCAGGTCTCACTACTAGATCAGAATCATAGTGACCTGCCTGTTTACAGCCTTCCAAGAGGTGGGATTACAGGCGCACACCACCACGCCCAGTCTCAACTATGGCCTCAGCGCACCCTGAGGGCGGGGCCAGCATGGCAGGCCCGGGGATCAAGGCCCGGGGATCAAACCCCGGGCCCCTGTGCCTGCTTGCAGGTGCTTTAATCTGCTGAGCTATTTGGCCGGCCCACCCCAAAAGTTCTTAAGAGTAATTATATCCAGTGAGAACATTCAAAGTAAATTTTATGATCTGTATATTTTGGTGTATCTTTCCATTTTCACACAAGGAGCATATCCTACTCCCATGGGTGTCGAGTACTTTCAACACTAAGGACAAACCCACTTCTTTCTTTGCTTGCTTTTTCAACACATGGCAAGGTCAAGCACGAGTGTTCTTGTGCGAAGCTTTCCTTACTGCCCCTGCTTAAAGGCTGCAGCAAGTCACCAATCACGAGCAGCAAGCAGGGCTGCCATGAGAGGGCCTCAGCGAGAGCAAAGGCCTCCAAGGCCTCCACCCTCACTTCGTACAGAAGTTTTCATAACCACAAACTCCCAAGTAGTACCCCTGGCTATGTGCCCTAGTTATAACATGTATGTCCTCTAAATTAAAAAAAAAAAGAAATACAGAAGCATGTAGTTTTTATCTAATAAAAGGAAATTTTTCTATAGTTCTACATCATTCCAAAGAAAATTACGACAACTCTTAACAAAGTCACCAAATAGAACCTTCTAACTTAAGATTCCATAGCATTATTCTAGACTGCCCAAAATCTCCTGAAGATTTTGAAAGCCTTATTCACACAAAGACGAAACTTAATCCTTTAACACTGTATATCTGAAGCTGCAGCCTTACTTGGGTTCTGCCATGGCTGCTTTCCGGAGATTCATGACAAATTTTCCATGATGAAAAGCTCTCCCTCCCTGCACCCCACTGTCTTCTGACAGGGGGAATGTAATGTGAACCTCTGACTTCTCTTCCCGGTCGTGAAGTATGTAGCCATTCAAACACTGGGCATCGATACCTTCTACAGCATCTGCAAAACAGTCAATTCCGTTAACATGCCCGGAATCCACCACTAAGTACCAAGAACACCAACACACTGAAATTAAGTTTCTGGGGGCTGGTGAGATAGCTCAGTGGTCTAAAGCACCTGCTGAGGCAAGCTTAGGCAGGCAAGCTCAGGGACTGCTGTTCGATCCCGGCACCACATGCCATGCCAGCCCTGGGGTTGAGCCAGCCATTAAAAAAGAACAGAAGTTTCTGCTTTATAAAACTACAAGCCATCTGGGGAACTGCACAATTAGTATAACTAGTACAGAAACTTCCATGTTTCTGGAAGTCAACAGGCATCTCAGCAAAACTGTATTATCACTGATTACAGCCTGACATGAGGAGACATGCCTATGATCCCAGCATTCCAGAGGCTGAGGCAGGAGGATGGCAAGGAGTGCAAGGCCAGCCTGGGATGCGCTGAGTTCATGGCCAGTTTGGACTACATCAAGCAAGCGAGGAAACAAACAATACAGTTATTCAGGTCTGCAATTCCATTTCACCTCAGAGTACTGAGCAAGAAACTACACGATAAAATGAAGTAAATATAATCCTGTCATGAGGATAATCTGTTCTGTCCATAAAGATTTAGGGTTGTGAAGAAGGCCTGTGGGGCGAGAGGGCCAGTGTCACTGAGCTCTGAGGAGTGACCCAGGGCACAACGACAAGGCTAGCATCCTGGTTCAGAAAGCAGCAGACCAAGCCGGGAGCCAGGACTTCCAGGACTACCTCATGAGCACTTTGGGGACCTAGTAGCCAACTGCTATGTCCCAACTGCTGCCATCAATGACATCAATGACTCTCTGGAAAGTCTCCAGAGTCAGAGAGTCTCACTGGGTAAATGACATTGCCTCTGTTGCTAGTCTTTGGCACTCATGAGACCTGCCTACAAGTACAGGCTGGAAACCTGCTTCTGAGTGCATGTGACACAACACACGAAGCAGCGCTGCTCATTCAGGGACAATGGCTGAGCAAGTACGGGTAGGAACACATCTGCTTAGCAACGGAAGAACCAGCTCTTTAGGGGATAGCACCCCAGCCACTGCTACAGAAGCACGGATTCCATCAGCATAAATAAGTCTTGCTACAGAGAAAACCCAGAATGCTACACTGTTCTTCTAGAAACACCCAGGAGAGACCCTACACCAACTCTCTGGTGCCTTAATACTATTTTATTTTTCTTCATAAAGGGTAGCTCAAAATATGCAACTAATTTGAAAGAAAAAAATTCTGTAACAAGTTACACTTACATACTCAAAGTCTTTGATTTTTATTTAATGAACACTAACATCCAACAGTTGGCCGCCACACACCTAAATGTGTTTCCCGTGTCTCTGAAGTGTCCATGCACCTTCATGCTTCGTACTTGATGAGTGACCGTGCCTTGGTCACCTCCTGCTTGTGCGACGGTTCCTCTACTTCCCCATCTTGGGGCCCACCCAGACTCCAGCAGCCCTCTCTGTCTGCACATCCCCTCTCACGGCTGTCCATTTCTGGTTTTGTCATTAAAAAGCTCAAGGGCCAGGAAGACAGCTCAGTGGGATTAAGTGCTTGCGCAAGGTCCTGAGTTTGATCCCTGGTGCCACCAGAAAAAGAACAAAAAGCTCTTCAAGCATAGTTTTCTGGTCTCAAATTTTTAAACTGCCAAGTCATTTTAATCTGTGTTTGCTTGTCAGCATCATAAATCGCCAAAACCAATGTCCACTGCCCATACTCATCCACTCGACCCTTATCAGTGAACACGAGAACTCTCCTTGCCTCCTGATATACAGCATCCCCTCCCGTGAGAAACAGGCCCTGCTGCTGGGCTAAGTGACCGCGAACAGGCCCAGCTTTCTTCTACCGCCCTGCCAGGTCCCGCCCAGTCTCTGGTGTACGCATCTCTCCCTCTACCCAATCTTCCAACCTAAGACTTCCCAGGACTTAGCTGATTCGGCCTTCTTGCTCCTTCTCAAGCTCTCCTGAGACGGACTCCAGCACTGCCATAGATTTTATGACCTGCTACCCTAGCAAGCTCGGAAACGCAGAATGCTGGCCAGCCCAAATTCCTCCCCTGCGCCCTGGATTCACATACTTTTTATCTGATATGTCTACTTACACAGCTTGCCCCGAAGCGTCTCTCACACCTGTTCCTTTCTCTAGGTCTTCTTACGAGCTAATGGCAACACCACCAACTAGCTGCTAAGTCAAAACCCAGGAATCACTCCTGCGGCCCGGTTCTTCACGTCTCCCACCACGCCCCCACCTAGGCACTCTCCCCCAGCTGGGATGCAGTGCCCAACACCCAAGACTCAGAGGAGGCGGGATTCTGGCGCACATTTCAGTCCTTGGAGCCCTGGCGCCACGCAGGACGGCACGGCACAGGAGCCTGGGGCGTCACTGCTCACCTAGTCGCAGCCAGCAAGCACAGAGTTAAGGGATGAACAGAAGAGAGAAATGCCCCTCTAAGTCACTACCCCAGCAACCTGCCTACCCCACCAGGCCCAGTTCCTAATGGCAAGACAGCTATAGCACCTCCGTGAGCCACTCCTCTTACAAGGCTCTTACTAGAAACACATGCGATTCCGGGCTATCTAGATATAAACCAGAATAGGAAGTGACAGCATTTCTCTTAATTTCACCATAAATCTGTCCACTTCTCTGTAGCTTCTGCTACCATATTAGTGCAAACCAGCATCATCCAACATCTGGATTTAGCGACGAGTTACCCACGTCTCCTGGCCTGACACTTGTGACCCTGTCTCTCATCGCAGATTTACAGTCTATTCTCCTTGCTGTGCCCATGTATTCTTTTCAAATGGCATTCTACAAATAGCAGGGTATGACCCAGTGGTAAACTGTGAAAGGAATTCTGGACTGTATAATTAGGTGAAGTCAATACAAGCATGTAAAAAGCAAAACAGAACAATGAGCAGGGTTGGAGATGTATGTGGCTCAGTAGTAGAGCATACGTTTAGCATGTGATCCTACGGCACACGTGTTATTGTGTTTTTCCTTTAGGACAAAACATGGTAATGTATGAGCTATTCTTTCTAAACTAAAAACCTCAGTATTCAGGCTAACTGCAGTGCTGGCACTTTGTGGTAAGTGGGTCTGGGGTTGCAGCTTGGGCGCTCAGCCTCCAAAAGTCCCATCATCACTGCTCTTGACCCTGGGTTTGAGCCTCAGCAACTCCCAAAAGGTGGAAAAATTCAGTCAGACTGAAACATGTATGGATCTACTATGCTACTCAGAGGAGCTATTAAGGTCTGAAGTCACTACCACAGGTGCAAAATGAGACCGTGTTTCACTCTGGCTCCACTGCAAACCCCTTCACGACCTGGCAGCTGCCTACCTCTCCAACCACACCGCATGCCGCTCTTCATTTCTTCTTTATCCATTCCTTTCAAGCTATATGGATCTCCTTTCCAGTTCCTTACAAAATAGCAATTACATACCTGGGACCTGCAACACATCAAGCCCTATTCTGAATGATTTATGTCTATGAATTCACTTAATCTTCATAGTAACAGTGGAGTAGAGGCACTCTGTATACCATTTAACAAGTAATGGAATTGATCCATAGAAGGGTGTTACTTTAGTTAAAGCTGGTTACTTAGGCAAGGTCATACGGCTTCGAAGGACCAGAGCAGGCATTCAGATGCAGGCAATCTAGCTCCAGAGTCAATTCTTTGGATTAATATGCCATACATCCTATGACACATGCCAAGCGAGTAGCTCCTCACCTCCCAGTCTGGCTGCGGGGTGCACTCTGTTCCTCAAGAGTACACAGTTTACCTGTCCTGTTCACCAGTGTATTCCTCGTACCCAGTACAGCACCTCATGTAAAAGCAGTAAATAAGTAATTCCTCAATGAACAGAGCTGGTACTTAAAAGGCATTAGCTAAACAGATGAACGATGCTTTGATAAGATTCTAAATAACAGCACTATAACAAGTACATAAAATATATTCTTCAAATGAAGTTTCCTTTAGCTTTCACTGAAATTCCTCTTTCTTCTAGTTTTCCAGTCCTTTATTTAGACCACTACAATTTTTCAGGTATTTCAATATATCTCATGAAGTCTGCTTCCTATCTCTTCATACTACTAAAGGCTTGCTTTCTCTTTTGCTCTCATATTCAAGTAAGTATGTTGATAAGTATTCTAAATTTTCTAAGTGAAAATGAAATGGAATCCCTCTTTTTTTTTTTTTTGGCGGAACCAGGAATTGAACTCAGGCCCTTGCGCTTGTCAGGGAAGCGCTTATTCCACTGAGCCATCTCCCTGGCCCTGCTCTTCATTAGCCAACTAAGTCTAAATGATGACACCTGCCGATGCCAGAACTCTCCTGGAAATCAACATGAACCTACCTCCGAGACCCAGGTCCTTAAGAACACAACAACCACCAGGCTGCAGAAATTCTCCAACTATTCTGTCAGGCTCTTTTAAATCTCTCTCAATGACTGTCACCTTTCTTCCATCTCTGGAAAGCACTGCTGCCAGAGCAGAGCCGAGTACACCAGATCCCACGATGATAATTTCTGGATCGTTCAGAGAAGCTGTTGATGCAGAGGTAGTTGCTCCTACTAAGGTTGTTTCAGGAATACGCATTCCTTTTCTGTGCTGTTTAATTTAAAAAAAAAGAATTTTACTTCCAAGTTTGTTAGCCTTAAATCATATTACCACCGTATGTACCTGGCTTGATCCCAAAGATTAATTAAAAAAAAAAAAAAAAAAAAAGAACCGCTTATATTTTATACTTTTTTTTTAAATGTATTTAGGACAGGGTCGCCAGGGTCTACACGGCCTCACTGCGTAGACAGGACTCCTAGTGACCCTCCTGTTTTCAGCCTCCCAAGCTGTGGGATTACAGGCGCACACCACCACGTCCAGTCTCATTCTCATTCACAGTCTCAGTGTGCCCCAGGGGCAGGGGCGGCAAAGCATGCTCCTCGCTGCGCTCTGCCTAAGCAGGTGCTTTAGGCCACCGAGCTATCTGGCTGGCCCTGAACTGCTTATATTTCAGAACCTAAGCCATACATAAAAATCAATGAAGCCAGAGGTGGTGAGGTACACCTGTAATCCCAGCACTCGGGAAGCTGGAGGTTCCCTATGAGTGTGAGTCCAGCCTAAACTATACGGTAAGACCCTCTCTTGAAAAACAAAAATCAATGATATCAAAGTACTGATTAAATGAAAATTATATAATATCATCTAAATAAAATTAAATATATACATGTATTCCTGTTCCCAAACATAGTCTCTAGAAAGTGCTATTATATAAACATATTTAGAAATGCACATGAGAATAAACAAAGGACACACAGGCATATTACAGGGCAAATCCTACAATTAATTACTCAGTGCTTCATACACATATTGACTAGCTACCAAACAAAAATCTTATAACTTCTAATTTAACTTTGTGCTGTGCTATTTGAGACACCTTTAACATATTTCTAAAGATATTCACCTTAAGTTTTCTTCTTCTGTATTTTCACTGGGTTAAAAAAAAACCTATCTAAAATCAGTTTGAGGGGCTGGTGAGATGGCTCAGTGGTCTAAAGCACCTACTTAGAACAAGCTTGGCAAA